ACGACTTGTTCGTCCCGTCACTTGGTATTATAAAAAAAAAAGAAAATAATATGGCGGCTGTAATTCCCTGGACGAACTCACTCCTACAAATAATTTAATTGCTAGGTGAAATGATTCTTAGTTATCGGTTCTGCTAATGTAATGAATTAAAATAATATTCAATCTACTCAACCCTATTTCCTGTTCGAAAGCGCAGAAGGCGAGCGGAGACGAATCAAAGGCGTTTGTATTGCGGCGGGGCTGCATACATTATTAAGCAGTACTTGATAAACCTTATTTATCCTTGACATTGCTCCTTTTATCTATTATTCTTACACACTCTACCAAATCGGACTTTAACCCTTTACGTTTAAGGGCTAAAATTGCAGTAATTTTTGTGTAAGCCAAAAGGAACTGCTAAATATAACTTTGTCAACCTCTATTTCGGTGAATTTACTTTTTCAGTTCCAATATTTAAAAGTGTGCTGTAATACGAAGACCATAAGGTTGAAGTTTCTGTATTTTACTGTTTCATATAGACAAAATTCGTTGGTTATTTTATATTTGATTTCAGTTGGCAAAGTTACTCGAAAGTCGGGTTTGTGTAATATGTTTTGTATTATACAGTTTCATGAGCCACTTAACTGTATTGATCATGAAGTTATCTTTTAAAGTTAAACTTTTTGTTGTTTGTTCCCGGTAAAACCACCACATAGTCAATAAAGAATAATATAGAAGGAATGTTACAGCCAGCACATATTTATCTCCGTTGATGTGACGCTTTTGATGTGTGCATCTGAGAGTAAGCGACACGCCTGTCCATAACAGTTGCATTGCCTCTGAGACATATGTTGAGTCCGATGTAATTTCACCAGCACCCTAAACACCGTCCAAACCGGAACGCAATAAGACAGCCGTAGACGCATACCACACCTAGAGGTGCCGGTGATGATTTTATACCGATTTATCGGATATCGAAGTTATAACAGGTAAAAGAACTAATATTAATTGCTATTTCGGTAACTACTCTAGCAAACCATAAAGTTTTTAATGCCTGGGTCTGTCATTTAAAAACTTCAAAAATACGTCACGACAATCGTGTGTGTTATTGTTTGGGCTGGTGATTTCGGTGTTTATTTATTGAAAATATACCGTAAGTAGCGTTTTTTTAAGTTTACCCTGAAAATAAATATTTATAAACTATACTTTAAGGAGTAATATCATGGTAAACGTTAGAACCACTCAAACGGAATATTACCATATTTATCCTAGTACATAAAAAATTTCATTAGTGCTTTTTAAGTGCAGGATTTGCGGTGTATTACTGCATTTTATTTGAGATGTTTTTGTTGGTAGTACGGAGGGTATTTATTTAGCAATGCAGAATTAAAATTTTTATTTATAAAAACTTGTATTTAAAACTGAATGCTTTTCTAATTTGCGAAACCAAATAGCCGCCATTTTGCGGTAGGAGGAGCGCATCGCGTGAGCGGTTACTGCTCGGTGGCAGAAATAAGGAAAGTGGCAGTTCTTCCTTCGAGGAATTCTTCCACAATAAACTCTACTGCTACTAAATATCTAAGGTATATAAATTATTGAATGAACGCATTACAGCAATACTTCACGCTTAACGTAAGGGAAGGGAAGGGACGTTAAGTAAGGGAAACCATCGTGATGAAAACTGTTACACAACCTCAAATGCCTTTGGTTGATTTCGCATAACAGTGAAAAAGTTGAATCACTTTGGAAAAATATATAGTAAGATTTGGGATATACACTGATTAGTGTATGGTGTGAAAACATAATTCCCAAAAATGTTGGTGGCAGTACTTCCCTGCACGAAGTCTTTTACATGAAAACTCTACTGCTACTCAAGCTGTTTTATATTAAGGTCTATGAGAAATGAAGAAAGTTTGTTTTCTGTTCGTCTTGTAGAATACGATTTCCGGTTTGTACTCTTAAAGCCACTAAATTCCATATCTCCAGGTTCGATTTCCGGGCCGGGAGAAATATTTGTAGCGCCTACGTATCACGGAGAGTGTGCGATGGAATTACACGATTTAATTCCGCCTTCCCCTTTCCATCACCGGGGGACTAGGCGTAGGCTTGGGTTCCACCCCTATGTTGTGGATATTCCAAAAATTCGCACGAAGCGTTACGCTTCCACATTTATATGGCGAAAGGCTATGGAGTGGGATTTCCTGCCTGTAGACTTGTTCCCTGAACATTATAACTTAGGTTTTTTCAAGGCAAGGCATTATTAGGTGTGCATGCTCCATCGTCGGCCTCATCGTCACTTTCCTTTTTTACGTATATTTATTTCTTGAGTTTGAGTGTAATTTGTGGTTATCTATGTGTCTATCCATGACATCCCGCGATACAGGGTTTCCCTTGTACGGGGATATGTTGAGTGTGTGCGTTATTATTAAAAAAAGAAATAAAAAATCAGACATTAGCATGGAGGATACACATAAATTGATTATAGTACCTACTGTTAGTCTTGTTACGTTTTGAAAAATAATATTGGTTATTCACTACGATTATTACTAAGTATAACAGGTTTCTTTCGATAATAATATGAGTCGTATTCCAAAACTGTACTCAATGCTCAAGTCACGATTTGAGCAGACTTGAGTATGATTTCAAGCACTGGAAATACGACCCTAATGGCAAGGACTTGAGTATAATTTCTAGTGCTTTGAATCATACTCAAGTCCTGACTTCAGCATTGAGTAGAGTTCTAGAATACGAGTCTCGGATTTCTATTTATTTTAAAATTGTACCAAGATTTGTGGACTAATTTAAAAAAAAAACTCTTTTTTTTATAATATCGTTTTATAAGTATCAAGTGACAGGAAGAAAAAGTCGTGTGTCTGATGGTATGCCACAACACGCCTGTCCATGACAGTTGCAGTGCACTCAGAGCTTTAAATCGCAAAGATCTGAGAGGCACTGCCACTGCGCCTCTCACCCCGAGATATAAGTTGCCATTTCCATGTACCTGTAATTTCACCATTGTAGACAAAAATCCAGTTTATTTGTATACCTATGCGATTGCGGGCCAGTGTCCAGTGGCTATGAGGTATGCTACTTTCCTTACCATAACTCTAACATAGTCGAGATTTTATCGATGAGATTTGAAGCTCTGAGTGGCACTGCAATTGTTATGGACTGACGTATAGCTTACCATTATGCGCACGACTTAATCGTCCCGTCACTTGATATTATAAAAAAAATCTATTTATTTTTACAATCACATATATTCATTATTTATATCTAATCAAATGGGCTTTACACAACTCATTCGAATTGCGATCTTAGTTATTCATAAACAGTGCCTACTGACGAGTTTTAGATGACTTGGCTGGCATTGCAGAATGTATAATTAATATACACAATTATCATATAAATTATTACATAAATTCTAATTTTAATTTGCATGTGTAGAATAGTTTTATTGTATATTGATGAAGATGTACCTATTATTAGTAAATTAATGTAATAACTGATTCGTAGCACATAATAAATAGTATCGTATGTGACCACTAGATGGCATTGTATTGTATAGAATATTGGTGACAAATAGATGGCGCTATTCACAATTACATAATGTTAAATTGGAATATCAGTTTAATTCGAAGGAAAGGTTTACAACCAAATATGTTTTATTGTAGATCGTTAAAATAATTATTCACACTTATAATTATAAGTATTTGAATGTAAAGAGCATTCATTTTTACTTCATTTTTTCATCTGCCAATCTGCGACCGTTTCCGCCACATCCCACCCTGCTAGTAAAAAGTAGGGTTGAAAGGAGGGACGTGTGCTAGAGTCCGAAAGGCTAGACGAGTAAATTACTTACGTAAAGTGATTGTACTACATTGTTGAGGAACGTGTGATCAGTTACGAAAAGTAAGGATAATATTTCTTATCAACTTGATGTTATTTCACATCCGCGAAGAGCGCTGTAACACATGTTGTTTTCAAACTTAGTATCATGCTTAGAATAATAACGCATAGAATGATAGTTTCATATCAAACGAACTGTCACAAGTGAGGCAAAAATCAAATTCATGTAGGCTAGTTTTAATAGTAGGTTAATTTTCGGTTTGAGTGAATATTTATATAAAAATACAAGTTGAAACGCGTTACTTCCTTGTGGAATTTGATGTTAGTATCTATTTTATGTTTGTCTGACGCATTTTTACACTCATTTACCGCACATTTCGTCATTTTTAGCTAAAATTCTTGAGCTGTTCGCGGTGCAAGTTGACCTTGAGCATTGAAGGCCCGCCCGCTCGTGTAGGCCCATTGGGCGCGCTTCAATTTGCCTCACTTAGCATGTGCGCACTAGGTTTCTATGCGTATTATTCTAAGGTATCATGTAGGTATTCTTCTCGTATCACAATGATAAGGATATAAACAAGTTTATCTCAGAATTGTACCAAGTTTAGGACTTAATCACGTATAAAACATTTTAATTACCTCGACGTTTCGGACGTACTGCAACATCCATGGTATTGGAGGGACTGAAAAGGCGGTTGCCAGTATCTTCTAGCCGTGTGGGTTTTTCTAACTACCCGCACTTGATCTTCATTATTTATTTGTGTACTAGGGTTCTCGCTAGTCCAAAACGTCGATGTAATTAGAATATGTTTTATACGTGATTAGGTCCCAAATTAAAAACAAATAATATTGATATTACAGTTTTATTAACAAAATGAGATTTTTTTTTTATTCTTTCCGTAAAGAAAAAGGCAAAGGTTTGACAACATACAGCCAAGTTATGTTAAATTTATCTTTTTCTTCTTAGATAAAATATTTATTTTTTTCCATCCTCTAAGTAAAATAGGCATACGCCAAGTCTCCAGTCCATTGACATTAAGCCTCGTCTTCAGTGGGTCATATAAAATGGCGCCCAAAATTTCCTTCCGTCTAATGCTAAAAAATCGAACCATATTATGTCAGTGTGACGTTAAAAATAACAATATCGCGTTATTAATATTGAACTTCTGCAAGCCACATATGTTTATAAAAAGTTTTAGTACCACACTGAATACAAAAACCCTATGCATATGACATCATTGTTAAATTAGAAAATTTGATTACATTTTTTAAACATCGTGACTAAAATGTAATTTTAATGCCCGTCCGTTTTCTTCCGCGAATAAAAACTTGCTGTTTCTTTATCAAGGATTTGAAATGGGCAGCAATATTGATTGCTCTGTTTGGACTGGTTAGTATACTACATTTTCTTTTTGTGATAGAACCTTTCGACATCGAAGCTGACCTGATTTAGCATCACCACCTACTGATCCTGCAAAACCTTGTACTGGTTCAGATAATGGGGCTAGGAAAGCCAGCATAATCACAGGGTCTGGACTTTTTTTGAAATGTGGATTCGCTTTACCACAATCTAGACCTTCAAGTCAGGATGAGGTCGATGAACGAGCTTTGACTGAAGTCTTAGGAAAACTGTTCTCATCTAAATAATTGTATTCTGGTAACCACTCAACGTAACGGTGGTCGGGTCATAACGTGACAGTCGGTAGTGATCCACATATCATCATCATCATCCGAAGGTTTTGGCTATAGTCTGCCACGTTCGCTGGGGACTTGACACGTTTTCTGATGGTTGTGAACATTCTTCGACGTACAGGTAAATTTCAAATTACATTTCGCAAATATGTTCTAAAAACTCAGATGGCGAATCCGAATCCATTCGGATTCGGATTCGACAGCCTCCGCTTGAGTAACGGTTACTCACATTACTGCTTGGCAGCAGAAATAGTACTTACTCTTTCACAAGGAGCTATACTGCTACTAACTATGACAGTTACTATTGGTGGTACTTACCTAGGTAATTTTGACGACTTATTGCATAGGCCAGCGTCAGAACTGAGCTTCTTCGTCTTCTTGATTATTCCTGTCTAAGGTTAGCTATTGATAAAAAGAGTTTTACATTATTTGCGGCGATCCGAAACAATGATCCAGTGCTGATGCGAAACTTCTGATTCAAGTTTCCAGCCCTTCCTAGAACCTGTCATTCTTGCAGTTATTGGCATTGCTTGCTTGATCTGGTCCGGAGAATTATCGACCACGGTAAGCCCTGCGTCAGAATTGGAATTCAATTACCATTTGCACTATTTGGGAAAGCGACATATTAGAAGTTGCAATATTGAGCTGTCTCAATGGGAAGATAGCATTACTGCGTTCTGAATGGCGTGCCTTTGTGAAGAGGCAGTTCACGAGTTTGAATAGCAGCGTAAAGCTGAACTCGGTGCTAAGGCTGCTAGTAGATTGACTGCATGTTTGCAATCAATGCGTAAAATTGATACTGCATGCAGTTAACACTTCAACTTCAAGGGTCGATGTGAACGATAGTCCGAGAATCAAAAGTAGTAATTTACATAATAATATTTACATTCTTACGAGGAATAATTTATTATTATTTTGCTTTTAACATATAGTTTAATTTATCAATAGTTACATTCGACATTCTAAAGTAGTTGTAAAATTTGTTTTCATCTTTATAGCAACGTAACTGCCTGCGCGGCGGAACGGTTATCATTCCGGTCTGCCACGCAGAGGTCCCCGGTTCGATTCCCGGGCCGGGTGAAATATTTATATGGCCTACATTTATTTCTCACGTGAGTTTGGGTGTAATTTGTAGTTGTCTATGTGTGGGTTCATGGCACCCGTGAAACAGGGTTTGCCTTGTGCGTTATTATTATTATTATTATTATTATTATTATAGTGGAAATATCCACGCTGCACGCTTTCGGTTTTGGTTTCGATTACGCCGGCGGCATAATAGTAATAACTGAACTAGCATCCGAGATTTAATCGACGTCAACTTTTTACATTGAGCTCCTCAGCTAGGCGCGCGGCAATAACTGCCTGCAGTTAATGTCGACTGCATTCTGTCAGTTTCATCTGCATGGCCTTGTATTATATGGACTTTGCGCATGCAGTTCGTTTAGTAGCAGCCCAAACTTGACGAGATAAAGGTCGGCCCTACGGGGGCAGTGCCGGGGTTAAGTGGGACTGGGCTGAACCCTGAAGGGGAGCAGCCCGACCGCACCAAACCCCCGGGGTTTTCCTTCTCTCCGCTGCAGGTACACGGAGGCACGAGTACGCTCTCGCTCGTCCGCGTATCCACCAGCGTCTGGCCGCGCCCAGCGCAGCCCCTCCCCGAGAAGAGAAACACAACGGTCCCCCGACTCTAAATGTAAGGCTCGTCGAACACCAGACGAGCCTTCCTTTTCGGGTCCCTCCATGCTGGGCCACGAACTCCCCCGTGTCCGCTACCCTCAATGCCCAACACCAACCCGACTAGAATTCGAACTGGTCGCAATTACCGACCAAGGTGGGATTGAAAGAAAAACTATTCCGGGTTCCGGTTTCGGGGTTCTACGTAATATTCCTGGTACTCAGTGAATTTAATTTGGGATCTTTTTTATCTGCCACGTTTTAAAATTTTATTTATACAGGCTTAGAATAATAACGCATAGAAACCTAGTCCGCACACGCTAAGTGAGGCAAATTGAAGCGCGCCCAAGTGCTCAAGATCAACTTGCACCGCGAACAGCTCCAGAATTTTAGCTAAAAATGTCGAAGTGTGCGGTAATTGAGTGTAAAAATACGTCAGACAAACATAAAATAGATACCAACATCACATTCCACAAGGAAGTAACGCGTTTCAACTTGTATTTTTATACAAATATTCACTAAAATTATTCACCGAAAATTAACCTACTACTAATACTAGCCTACATGAATTTGATTTTTGCCTCACCTGTGACAGTTCGTTTCATATGAAACTATCATTCTATGCGTTATTATTCTAAGTATACAGACTTATTTTTAAAATGCTAACAAGACTATGTTACTAACACCATAAACAGCATCTTTAGTTCTATGACTTTTTAGAAAAATAGGAAATGTACTAATAGTTTTATCAACAACAAACTTTTCAGTTTCACGTGTACTATCTTACACTTTTTAGATCTGTATTTAGTAGTAAGGGCGCGTTCTCATTCGGTCATTACGTTTTATTTATCGTTGGACGAATGTCGCATTTAGCCTGTTCCTATATCTCGACTATCTCTCGTGACTGTGTCGTGGACGTTTATTTTATCGTTGAACGACTGTCGTGTCTAGCTCTTCACTAGATTGTGACGATAATTTATCTGTTCACGGCAGTCGCCTTGTCGTTAACATGACATAAACGTTTGAAACTTCAATTATCTATCGTGACATTTTTACAGTGACGTTTTATTTATCGTCAGACGACAGTCGTCCTAGTTTCCATTGTCACGACAGTCTGTCGTTATAACGCAAAAAAGTCGTGAACGACAGTTAACGGTGTTCAACTTCATTTAACATTTAGAGCGATCTATTTAAATATATTTATTTTTATATGAAGTCAAATCCGATGAATTATTACAAGTCATGGAACAAACGTTGTTGTTTATGATGTTAGTAATATAGTTCTGAGAGATTGTTAGTATTTTCCAAAGAACCCTGTATATTATTTATAATGTATTATCTCAATTGATTATATTATTTTCAGGTAGAAGGTACAATAACTGTGGTTATATTTATAGAAGCATGTAACACATTGTACACAGCCAGTGGGCATCTTGGCATCACCATGTTGGTATGGATTGGCTGTACGACGACATTCGGAATCTTTTTAATTATCGGCGCGTTGTGCTTTTTTGTACAAATATTTTTTGTAAGCATTTCATCTGTTACTCTTGTTACCAATACATAAATTCTATTTAAATCGTCGCTTGCTGACATTATGCTATCATAATCTCAGTACAGATTACTAAAAAAACCGACCTCAAAAGTACGTGGAATCGTAATGGACGTCTATTTGCTAAGTTTTATTGAAATATCCCCTACTTCGCCACTATACAGGACTTGACACTAGAGATAATAATAATCGGTTCTCACTACTCAAAGTGTATTGAGAGAAAAGCGCCTTGAATTGGAGAAATAGCAAAAAATAATTGGCATTAAAATAATTGCTCCTAAATTAAAGTTAGGCGCTATTTATAAAAATGAATCTTCATGCGTGAACGGCAACCCTTGAAGGATAATTTTCTTCAAAATGAAATGGGACTACTATGGTTCACAAATACCGGAGTTATCGCATAACATACATACAAAAAAAACATACAGTCGAATTGAGAATCTCCTCCTTTTTTGAAGTCGGTTAAAAATGGCGAATATAGAGCAATCTTTTCGGAGGATTAGGCTGCCTTTCCACCAGAGATGTGCGACGTAGCGAAGAAGTGTGCGAGGAAAAAATCCACCAATAGAATCACTTCATTTTCCTTGCATCGCTTAGCGCAGCTCCGGTGGAAAAGGGGTAGCGGAGCTAAGTATTAGTACATACACAATAGCGAGAGATGTGTACGAGGAATGTGTACGAGAGATGCGGGCGAGGAATGTGTGCAAAACGGTGTAGGAAACTAGAGCTACTGAAAGTATAACAGTAACTGACACTGACACAGCGCCACCGCTCACCCCACCACACCGTACCCCGCCCGCGCATAGTTGAAAAAAGTTCGTAAGGCATCGTCGCATCGCGCCGCTGCACATCCTCTCACCGCCTAACTACCTAGCACATCTCTGGTGATCAGCAGCGCTAGCACGACATGACGCGACTTGCTCGATAAATGACATAGAGGCGCGAGATATTGGCATGTCGCGAACGACGGTGCTTGTCGAGTCGCATTTATATGTCATTGCAAGATTCATCTGTTGATTGACAGCTGTGTGTGACATATTCTCGCAATGCTTTTTGTTACAAATATATCGCATTTAAACGTCAATGTGCGAGATATTTGTCTTTGAAAATTTGGGTGTCCGACAGAGGAATATAAGTTAAGTTAATATTTTTCTTCTTATTTATACATTACTATTATTTTATACTTAACATGCACTCTAATTATTATTTTCTCCTATTCTTATTCTGTTTTTCATATTATTTTGTATAATATTGTTAACTAAATTAGTTACATAGTAAATGAGTAAAAACACAAGATAACTGGGTACATACCATTGTAATCTATGGCAAACGCAAGTAATTTGAAAATATATCCGATTGCAATAAAATTTACTGTTACAATACATTTGTAAAAAGATTTTCCGTTTCGGTGAAAGTGGTAAGTAAGTGCAATTCAACAGATGAAGTAAAATATCGGATGACGTAAGACAAGCGAAATTAACTCTACAAAAACTCTCTCGACGCCAAGGAGGTCATCATCAAAATTACTTACAATTTTGAGAGATGTAACGTCAGTGTGCTTTTTTCAACTTGACTCAATGAACAAATGAAACGGTGTATCTCTATTACCGATTCCGTGTTATCAGATTTGAATATTTTTTTTTATATAAATTGTACCACGAAGACTACTTATATATTTTGTCGGCATGTCATAGAATGAGAAAATTTACAACCGCGAGAGTGTTTTGTCATCATGCTAATCGCGTCGCGCTCGTATAGCTAGCACTGCGAGCATAAAGTCCATGCCAACGATTAATGTAATTTATTGGGTTCTTTCCTGCGTATATCTTTGGGTTGAGTTCTCCAATATTTCCGCACAGTTACTTACGTTAAAGTCTCAGCACACCTGGAGAATCGCTACAGTAATCAAAATTACTGCCTTTGACAAACTGTTGAAAACATACGAAATGAGTTTATTACTCAAATGCAGAGGCTATGAGACACTGTTTCAGTGACGTAACGAGTGTAATTTATACAATAAATGGTCAAAGATGTCATAACAACTTTTTAAGCTAGATCAAAACCAACTTGGCAACAAGAAAGCGCCTGTTACAAAAATACAAGCGAAATAAATTGTATGAGTTTTAAACGATTTAAATATTTAGGCGCTGTTGTTTTTCTTTACACTTTGAAGGTAGTTCAAGATGGGTTCATGACCCGGTATATTATTATGTGGATTCAGTTGATGGAACGCCAAATGTGCAATTAAAATCAGCTTACGCAATATTAAGGAAAAGAAATTTTCAATATATTTTCTGTTTCAGAAACGACAATACGCAGACAATTTATTCATATGGCTATTAATCATAGTGCCAATTTTTAATATTGTATATTTCATACTGGTAGTACTACGAGTAAATGTGGATAAGGTGCAATGTAGGCCTTTTGGTCTTGACTTTGAGGTACATCAAAGTTCGCCTGGAAGTGCATATCTCACGTTCGTATCTTTAGCAATTTCTGGGTGTAAGTTCTTTTAAAATTTATATGTAAGTAAGTAAATTTTCTATTATCCGAACGATTATCACTAGTCACAGATATTCCTTTTTTGAGTTTTAAAATTTTAAACTTACTTGATCGAAATAAAGTTCATTATGCAACGTCAAAGAAGATATCTGTTGTCGAGAAGATACTACTTTCTATTCATCCAGGTATTATACGTTCGTCGTATTTCAGTTACCGGCCGCAAGATGGCAGCACGTTGAACAAAATTTTAATATAAAACTTCAACGATATAGCGACTAGGTTAAGTTTAAATTATATTAACAATCCAGAATTTGTTACGTCCTTGTAAATTAGAAAGTATGACCAATCATTATCAAGATTCATAGTGTTAATTATTTATTTGTGTGCGTTTTGGAGACAACAGGTCAAGTAATCGATGCTTAAAGCACTTCCATTGTTTTTCTTTCCGTGGATCGAAAGTTTTTTATATCCATCATATATGAATTACAAAAAAATAACTAAAATAACTATGTAACGCTTTGACTACTAATATTAATCGCGAGATTGTGGGGTACGTACGATTTGATATTTAAAAAAAGATGGCTTTATCCGATTCTTCTTCCGTTAACATATTTAATAATAATAATGTACTGGACATGTTACTTCAGTCGAGTGTTTACCGCTAAATGAACTGAACAGCACTGAATTGTTACTTTCCAACAGCGCGAGCTCGTGCGAGGTCGAGATGGCTCACGCGGACTGTTCATGGCAATTTTTGGTGGAAATAGGCCAGCAAAATTTTAATTTACGTCTCGCCTCGCCGGTGGAAAACCACCTTTACACTCTTGTTTACAAATCACCGTCATATTTGTAAACATTTATAATAGGCTCACGTTTAAAAAAAAATAGAAAATAAATGACCTTGTTACTTTGCGAACCCAGTGAAGATTAAAAGTGCACAATAGATGCGATAGTGTTGACTATTTTTTCATCCAAATTAAAAAAAAAATTCAACACAAGCGCAGCTATTTTGTACAATTTAACCTTCACTGGATTCGGGGAATAGCAAAGTCATTTACTTCCATTTACATATATTAACACAGATTTCCTCAAAGGATGAAATTTAGGACGTCTCCTAAATTTGGCCCATGTTTATTCACTATCTCTCCAGATTTGACTTTTTTATGATACCAAGAGATGGGACGAACAAGTCGTGCGTCTGGTGGTAAGCGAAATGCCTAGCCAACAGTTGACGTGCCACTCGGAGCTTAAGAGTGGTTACACACGACTTTGCAGTGATGCAAACGCACGTTCGTGAAATGCAGTCACACGCTTGCATCGTGTTTGCATCGCTGCTTAAGATCGTGCGCGTTTGTAAAGGTATACGATTAGCGACTGCATCGCTAAGAGTCACCGTGTGTAATCGCTCTTAAGTCGCAGAGGTGCACTGTCACTACGCCCATCACCCTGAGATGTAGTTGACATGTCCAAGTCCCATGTGCCTTCAAAACTGGATCGTACTAATGCTCACGTTACCGCTTGGCGGCAGAAATAGGTAAGGTGATGGTACTTCCCGGGACGGACTCTTCCACCAGGAGCTCTACTGCTACTAAAATGAAGAAAGAAGCGAGCTAAGTCTCGCTCGTTTCATTGTATAATGACTGTGGCATTACAGTACATTTACTCAAATATTTTTTATGCCCGTAAAAATAAACATAATTTCATTAAGAAAGAAGATATCCTAACTCACCATGATTTCCATGAGAAACCACGATTTCGTTTAACTAACTAAACGAATCTTTTATGGGGAACTGTATATGTTTTTACAATAAGATTCCGCTGAATATACTAAGATTACCATTTCCTAAGTTTAAAACTTACGTTGAAAGTATTGAAGAGTACGTTCAATCAATCAATCAATTTATTTATTTGTCAGAATAAGGTACGTTATAATCAGATCTTATTTTAAACAAATCCAACTTATTCTACCATAATCGGCATGCAATTATACATATATGTCATTCAACTATTTACTAATATTACTACAATCAGCCAATGAAAACTCCAATATTTATTACGACTAATGAAATAGACAAATATTGCAAATAAAGTAAAATTACAAAAGTTATAAAAATAAGCTCACGAATAATATATGTCAATAATTGACATGTATTATATAATATACGATGTTTTAGATAAAGAAGTGTGGATAGACACATTTATGCTATAGAATACACTTTGAATCATAATATATATATATATAAATCAAAAAAGTTGATTTGAAAAGAACAATCCCTAGAGTTTCTTGCTCGTTCATCTCAGGGAGGTCAGCGCAGTGGACGAACAGTAGCTTAAAAAATGACGTTTTCCAAGTGTAAAAATTTTACCTATGAAATAAATGATTATCTGATTTTGACTTTGTACTTTATTATATTACTTTTATTTACATTTTACTGTGCTGTTGTTTGTTTCAGTATCAATATATTACGCTTTTATTGTAAACGCATACAGTCGTGATTTGAGAAACAAGCGTCGCAGTGTCAATAGTCAATCAAGTCTAGATGACTCATCTGAATGTTTAAAAAATCCTCTAAATAGGGTATGGGGTAGGAAATCACAAAACGTATTTCATGTTCAAGAATTAGCTCTCCATAATGTTCCTGAAGATCTTTTTAAAACTGCACACTGTGACAGAAAAAATAAAAAAAAGAAGTCTACTAAACGAAAGAATAAAAAGCATTCTATCGCTTCAACTTCAAATGGATCTCTTCGATTTCAAGACAATACAAGCGATTCAAATGATTCAAGTTATGACCGTGAAAAATATTATGAACGCGATGATCATAATAAACACGGCGATCGTAATACACACGATGGTAATAATAAACAAGAAGATCATAGTTAGTGACGTAAAGAAACAGCTAAACAGTATTATTCGAAGAATAAGTAACATAAATCATGCCACACTCGGTAAACGTAATTTTGAAATATGTAGAGGTATTCGAGGGTCAATGTCTCTACATATAAAATGTATATTTATTTTGTAAAAAACAATAAACAGTAAATTTGGAATAAAGTGTATTTAAATTAGCCTTTTATACTTCCTCAGATTTTAATGACATCATTTATGCCAATTGCTAACATATTTTAGACACTGGTACGTAATCAAAACTACCATTGCAAACTCACCGACACATTTAGCGCAAGATTGGGAAATTTCACAAACTTATGCAGTTTTTTTTTTTTAAGTCTGTCCGATTATTTTACTTTCTTATTTTATGCCTAATTTGAAAACAAAAATATAATGGACAGTCAGTTTTTTCATCAAATTGTATTAATTTTTTACGTATTGCGAGCGATTCGAGGTTGATGTTACATTCTTATGAATTTCTTAAAATTTGATTGGAAATGTTTTTTTATTCATAATACTTTGGCTATTTTTAAATATCAAACTATTACAATTTTTAAATTGTCAGCCATTTCTGCTTGATCAAAAAATTTAAAAAAAAAACATTTTTTTTTTTCAAATTAAATTTATACATTTAAATATAAACGTAGATAACTATTTCATATTCTAATTTGTTTTGTTCCGTTAAATGTGCCTGTGTGTGTATTAGTTTGACGATCAAGTAGCTTTAAAAACACGAAAGAAAAAAGAGGATGGAAATGGCATCAAGCAACATTTGTATCAAAACCGGTGTCGCCACACATACACATTTGAAAACGTAATCTTACATTAGTAAGATAACATAATTTTGATTAGTTATAAATTGGACGTAGTTAAACAAAAAGGATCTAATGCACATCCAGTCACTTTCGAGATTTGGCAGTTTGAAATTTAAAAGTGTTTGTCACTCTTGTTTTATTATCAAAATTTATAATGTCATGTAACTACAGAGATATTTATTTATGTTTATATTATGGATTTTTTTGCTGATCTAAGAGGTTAGACTTTAGGAACCGTTTGGTACATATAACTCATTTTTTGATAATTTTGTTCATTGGATCGTTTTTGCTTAACTATGTCCAATTATCAAACGAAAATAAACAATAAAAAACTTTTGGTAACAAAAACTGAAACTTATTTGGATCTAATAAGGTTTTATTACAACTAGTCACATAAAAGCTAAGAATCCTATGAACACAAACTTCTTGGAACAAAAGCAAAAAGTTGACAATCTACAGATAGGGATGTGACATTTAGTTGATATCGACATTATGTTTCATAACTAGCGGAATATTGAACTAGGCATTGCTTTACACTTGCTATAATTAGGGTCATCGAGTATATAACCAGAAATAGAGACGAAATGTCATTTAATTTGTTTGAAAACTATTCTGCCATATCATTACTGTGACCACTGCGCTCCGATTGGCTAGCCCGAGTTCGAAACAATTGTCGGGTGTCGTCAACTATTTCACTTTAAATCGACCAGTCAACTTGAGCTTTGCTATAATGGACGAAAATTGCAAAATTACATATTTAATATTTAATTACCTATGAAATGTGATTCCGTTTGTTTTGTAATTAGATGTTTTGCTGTTTTTCCCACATCACCGAATAGAACAGCACGGCATTGTTAGAGATATTATCTTTATTACAATAAATACAGATTTTTTTTTTGGAATATACGGAGACGTACACACAGGTCAGTAGTTGGCCTGTCTATATTTCACTGCAAACGGGAGTTGATATTTATAAGAGCTGTATCGCTAATGTGTTACCAGGAATATATGGCCCTTATTTCGTCTCTATTTCTGGTTATATACTCGATAATTACGGTTAACCACGGAGTATATGAAAACGGCATTTAAAGCAATTTCCTCGAGAACTAGCGCAGCTGACTTTACACGCACATATTTATTACGCATAAGGTTTTACTACACGCAAATATTAATGGATATAACCTACGCAGGCGTATGCGTGCCTACACGTAGCTACATGCTACAGTATTAATGATTTATTATACTGACATCGTACTTTCATTAACCT